GAAGCAGATACATAACATCGTTAAATATTAAAAATCAGTTAACCCCTAACCTACCGGACACTTTAAAACCCGCTATACTTAAACGCAGTAACTCTAACCCGAATCGCTAACGCCTAACCCTAAACGCCTAACCCTAATTCTAAAATAAAACATTAAATAGCCAAAATAATAAGAAACTAAAATAAATAAGCCCGCTGTGCAAATGCCGATGGCGTGCGTGCGATAGTGGCGTGTCCTAAATACATTTATTAGCCCATCAACGTTGCTCAATTTTTCTTCGCATAGCGATACGGTTTGGGAAGTCGCAAATGTTGCTGCCTGGCAACCCGCTACCATATGTATAAATGAACATCACCATGGCACGCAGACTGAAAGTGAAACAATGCAATAATGAGCCTCGCGCCCCCCCCTACTTCATCAGTGCCGGCCACAACAGGCACTGTACGCAGCTGTGCATAGCACTAGTACATAGGCCGCGCGTACAATTGCCGCAGGCCGCCACATCCAACATAAGCGCCGGCAGAGCAGACAGCGCTCAGACTGACGGGCAGGTGTTCTGATGCTAAACTCAGGGGCAAACGAAGTCAAGAGGCACCCTCCATCGCCGCGTTCGCAGACTCCTCTCGTTGTCATCTCATTCTTTCTCTTTCGGCTCTCATCGCTCTTGCTAATCTCTTCCGGCTTCAGCGCTCTCTTCTCTCTCCTTACTGCTCTTCTCTGCTCGATCACTGCTCTTCTCTCTTTGTTCTCTCTTCCTCCGCTCTCTCTCTCCCTCTCTCTCTCGCTCGCTCACACTCACTCTCCCTCGTTGTCCCTCTTTCTGTCGTTGTCTTTCTCTCCTTTGCTCTCTGCTCCCCCTCTCTCTTTTCTCTCCTCTTTCGCGCGCTTCTCCGTCTTCTTCTGCTCTCTCTCTTCTGTATCGTCTTCTCTATCACTGATTCTTCTCTCTTCCCCTCTCTCTCTCTCTCTCTCGTCTCTCTCTCTCTCTCTCCTCTCTCTTCGCGCTCTCTCTCTCTCTCTCTCTCACTTCTTTCCCTCGCTCTCTCTCTCCCTCTCTCTTCAATTTCTCTTTTTTCGAGGCGTGCGCTGCGACGAGGCTGTACGACTGATTTGCTATAGTCTATACAGACGGCTGATTGTCTATCAGACTGATTGTCTGATGGTCTTCTAAACCCTAGCAAGATCCGTTTCGTGGAGCTAGCAAGGGTAACGTTTTTACATAACTTCACATAAATGTTTATACTATAGTTATATTAATTCGGGTGGTATCCGGCAGCCCATGTTTATACTATGTTAACTCGGTTCCCAGCAGCGGGCCAGCGATGGTAGAAATTATGAAAAATTGCTCTAAAAAGTGCTGTCTGCGCAGACAAGCTACCTGACAGATCTACTTGTCATCCGGAAATGGACAAGTACGAACAAACGGATAGCCCTTATTTCAAACACTGGGATGGTATCAGGAGCCTTCTCGAAGAAATGTTCGTTGGATCGTTATGAAAGTTGCCACGAGATGGCGCGTACGTGGGTAGCTGGAAGCTTCCATCGTACGTCGTATAGTAACAACTATTTGCAAGACAAAATAGTAAGCACCTGTCCATTATCCTACACAAGCCTACAGGCCGAAATAGAGAGCTGCACCTGTACCTAATTAACGCAGGCAAAAACTACACACATACTATCACACTACATGCACTGGCAGTGGCCACTGGCAGTGGCATATTAACACACTGACAGTCAAGAAGCCATAGAAATTATACGATTTAAGGAGCATAAACCTTCTTCAAGCAAATTTAGCTTTTGAAATTCACTGTGACATGTAGCCTCATACATCCAAGCATGTATAAATCTACTAGCAAACGCGCAGCTCAAATTCCTTTTAAACACAGTAACAGTTAACAAAATCCATGTTTTAAATCTCCTCTCTGAAGGTCAAAAGGTTATCAGACACTTACTCTCGCACGTCAGTGAAAGCAATTTCATGGTTTTCAATAAAGCCATAAAAATAGCTAGGTCACGCTGAACAAAACGTTTTCCAATCGCTCCGTCACACCATGTCCTCAAAATGTAAAACTGCCGTGTGCCCCATTGACCTTTGACTCAAATTTCGGCACAGTGGCTTTTCCTACCATGATGCTATACACCGACTATCACAGCCTAGGTCGAGCCGTTTAGATTTGTGCCGCAATTTCTTCATTTCCTCCCTATACCTTAAGTTAGAGGATGTTCCCTTCTTTTACACCTCTTGACCTTATGACCTTTGACCCCTAACTTGACATATCCAACTCGTTTTACGACCCCCCGACTGTGCCGAATAATCGCTGACCGGACTCGAGCGCGTTAAGATTGTGCCACTGATGACAGAGCACGCAGGGCGGGAGACGGACGATCGTGCGATCTACCAAAAGGCTGGCACCCGACTATGTCAGATACCTATAAAATGTAAAGGTCGTTCAAATTTGTGTCGGCCCCTGTTTGGCGGGGTGGTCGGGGTTAGGGGGCAAAAAACAACATTTTAATGCTCAGTCTGCGTAAATTTTTATTTCCTGTGCGGCGATTATGTAGTCGCATCGCCGCGGACAGCTGACCATGAGCAAGCAGTCGCCCGGATCAATTATTCTAATCGCGACTGGGCGACTGGGCAGACCGCTAGTTTCTCACGCTGCGTGCGCATAATTATGGACATCACACCGTACGGACGTTAAACGCTTAACAAGCAATTGGATGATCCCATGCTCATGGCGTTTGCCAATCTTTGCACGCACCGCTGCAGCAATGCCACAAACTTACATTTGTACGGTTGGGATTGCGCCTACGAGCACCAAGTTGTAATGTTGTTATAAGGCTAGATAGCAAAGTGTAGTCTAGGTACTAGTAAGTAACTAGTACTAAGGCCTAGCTCGAGACTATGACTAGCCGCGTACAGTTGCCCGCCAGGGCCTATAGACATTCATTAGCAATGCTAGGGACCAACCGCTGACTGGCGCTGCTGAACGGCCGCGCCAAAAATGGCCGTATTGAAGGTCGCTAATTTCGAATGTTCGCGTAACACGAAAACCGCAAGCCAGACCATCTTCAACATAGTAGAGGATAAATTTTACGTTGCGGATATACTTAACATATCACTTCGGAAAGAGGCATTAATTGCGTATACACAGACCGTTTTATCGCCGAAGTAACCGTTATACGCAAGTTGGTTCCAAGCATCCGTAATAGAAGAACCTATACCCTGCTGCAAACTGCACGCGGCGTATAGTTATAGAGCTAGTACTCAGGCTAGATCAATATGTACTCAACAGAGTATTTCTTTTTAGCGCATTGGCCAGTTTTCGGTTAGACCTGCCTGACGATAACGCATGCCCAATGCGTATAGCGTTGGTAACTTCGTACGTCAACAGTCAACAGAAATGCAGCGCTCGAAATATCGCCGCTGCACTTCACATTTTGTAACAGGTTATAATTATAGTTTAATACGCAGAGTATTGTAAACATAGTAAGTCCCAGAATAGCGGAGAAAGTTCGTGTTAGAATAAACCCAGTTTGGAAGTTCTAGCTCGCGAAAAACGCACCAATAAAACCTCCCTGAGTGAAGCATTCAGGGCTCCTCCAAAGTAAATAGAATAGGCTCCGGCGTTGTACCCCTACTCTTGTTGGGTTACATTATGTATCTAGTACTAGCCTACTACAGATACGCGAGTAGCTAGGCTACAAATGAGTAGTAACTACAACGTAGTAGTTAGTCAGCTACTACTACTAGTATCGTACAATCAATGACCAACACACGAGAGTAGGGTTACAATGCCAGCCTAGCCTTTTGTGTGGAGGACCCTGAGTCGAATCATATAGGGCGGTTTGCTGTGCATTTCAGGAACTAACTTCCAAACTGGTTTATTCTCAAAACTGAACCTTTTCCCGCTATCATGGAACTACTAATGTATCACAATACTCTGATATAAACTAATATAACGATTGTACAAAATCTGAGACGACGAGCGGGGATTCTTCCAGCGCATTTCTGTTGACCTGTGACGTAGCGCATATCCAATGCGCATCGTTTCGCTAACTTCGTCATGAAACGTCCACGACTGACAGCAGGCATCCAATGATACATTCGATCTTGGAGTCGAAGTTAGCCGAACGCTATGCGCATTGGGAATGCGTACGTCACAGGTCAACAGAAATGACGCTGGAAGAATCGCCGCTTGTCGCTTCGAATTTTTGTAACACGTTATATTAGTTTGATACAGAGTATTGTAATACATAGTAAGTTCCAGGATAGGCCCTAGTGGAGAAAGGTTCGTGTTGAGAATAAATATTATATAAGTTATAGTCTCTGAAAACGCACCAGCAAACCGCCCTGAGTGATTCACTCAGGGGTTCCTCCACACAAAAGGATAGGCTCGCGTTGTAACACTATCCTGTGTTTGGGTTACATTATTGTACCCTATCTAGTACTAGTAGTAGTACTACTTGTTTGGGTTACATTCTTGTATCTAGTATTAGTAGTAGTACTAGTACTAGTACTAGTAGTACTACTAGTACCAGGAGTAAGATAATATAGGGTATATTATCTGACTCTAGCTCTAGTACTATAGCCCGCAGGATCGCTGCCGCAGGCGATCGCTGCCGCAGGCGCAGGATGCCTGCGGCAGCGATCCTGCGGGCTATAGTACTAGAGCTAATCTGACTCCTGCTTCTTCTACTTCTACTTCTATACTGGACAGTCCCTAAGGAATAAACGTCCAGGGCTATAGCTAGCCATGGTGTGTGTGACCTAGCTTGGGTACAGCCAGGTAGTTAGCCTTTTTTAGCCGAACTAGTAGTAGTAGTAGTGCTACAAAGTACAAGTACAATGAATCATAGCCCGACCAGGCTGTGCGACGGATTGTCTATAGGGGTATTCTAACCCTGGCCTAGGCTAGCAATACCGTTTCTTGGAACTAAATGAATCATTATTGACATTAATTATCATTGACATGTCACATTGACCATTGTTACTGTACCTTCTAATAGTCGCTCTATAATGCTGTCTACATTCAATTTGTCTGCGTCCGCCATTGGAAGAGACTCTCTTATTTGCAGATTTCAAAATTATGAAATTTGTGTAAGAAAGTGAATAGGTCAAATAAATAGGAAATCAGAAGTTAGTAAAACTACAGTACAGATTATGAAAACTATTTGTACACAAAGATGGCGGTTCTTATCTGACGTCACGATTGGAATTATCAACAGAAGAACAGCTGGTCGTTTTAGGTTTAATATTTTAATTAACGCATATTGTCACCCACAAAGCTTTCCAAATGCTAAACGACTAGAAGAAGATATATTACATATATCTAAATATTTTCTTATATAAAAAACTTTTCTATTCCGCTTCGCTCTTAATTTAGTCTTATAGTTATACTCTTTTGAAACTTGAGCCTCCAGTCCAAGGGACTGTGGTTGATCTGAACCAAAGATCGTAGAGTGCCGTAGGCACAAGATAAACCACTCTCCAATCATAGCGTAGTAGGTCATGGGTCGCCACAACCGCCATTTTAGGAAGCAAGTTCACACGAAGTTCCCGGATGCTGCTGTATCTGCTACTGTGCAACTGTCTGCTGTGTGCTGTCAGCTCAGCTTAATTTCTGTTCTGCTGTAAATTGCTCGAATCGTCAGTGTAAGCCCGACCTGTCTTTCTTCAGGTTCCCCAAGAATACGGAAAGGTGAGAAAACCATTATTTTTTGTCGAAAATCCATCGTGCACAAGCAAGGTTTGTGGGCAATCTGCTGCGTCTGATACATGTAGTACCCAGGGTGGCAGTGTTGTTTTGTGCACAGGGCGTACGTGCCGGGTGTAAGCTTTAAACTGTCTACGTCCCACGAATTATCGAGCACGGGCAGCAGTAGTATATTGTGGTGTGTTCCACTCTTCCGTACAAATCACCTATCCAAGAAATGTATGAAACTACAAATTAGCGTTCTATTTACTTTTCGCATGCCTCATATCCGCTTCTTTATACCTCCCTAATTTGCCGGTGCATTCGATGTACCAACGTTCGATCTCAACACACAACCCGCCATGATTCGAAAATTATTCGTGTGGCGCCGCAGACGCCAGCCTAGGCTTTTGATATAGCGAACATTTGCGGTAACGAGGCAGTTGGCAAAATTATCTGTTGGCGCAGCCATGAACAGGCTTCCTTGTAAACTTAAAGCGGCGAGTTTTTCTCATACTAATCTTCCTTTTGGCTTTTTCTCTAAAAATTCGTCTTTCTTTCCGATGCACTGGTCTGCCCAGCCAATTGTTTATCGTTTACGTTTATCCTAGCTCTCGGATCACGGACCTAAGGGGATGGTCACCAAAACCATTTTTTGCTTGGCAGAAAATCTAAAAAAAAACACAAATAACATTTCGCAGTTTAATAACGTAAGTTTCAAACATAATACGACATGAACATATATTATTTATTTTTCCTAATATTGTTCACTTCCTCCATCAACTAGCTTAACACAAAATCACAACAGAAACCTGTTTGGGCACCGATCACCTGTGGCACCATACACCAAATACACCGATGAACACGATACCGCCGACGCACAGCGAACCAGTGCACGGCACACCCGAGTGAGCGCCAGTACTTGTGTAATATAGTGCCTCTCAAGGTAACACTAATTCAATCGTCAAGATTTTTGGCAAATTTAACTGCCAACGAATCACCAAACACTTTATATCAGGTAGAGACTTAGGAATATATCTTAAGTAACGTAGCTACTAACTTTTGATGTAAAAATTACAAAAATAACGGTTTTCAAGTATAATTTAAGAGGCAATTCGTGACGTAACACTTTAAGCCTACTTGCTGTCGCTTGCGCGACTGAGCATTTAAACGGCAATTTACAGGCAAGTTATCGCAATAATAGCGCGAAAATCCAGAGTAATGAGAAACCTTAGATACTTTGATAGTAGATACATTTAGTGTTTAATTAGCATTATTTGTTTGAGACGGTCCAATGACAGTGCTGTGCACTCTACCACTGTCTGACAGCTACACCACTGGCCCACGCAACTACTACAGTATAACCGCACGCGGGCCGATGTGATAAGATTCCAATATGGGCTTATACGCGACCACGCGCGCCGTATGGCGCGACTCACATATGGCCTACGGAATGAGAGCGAACGGGAGAAGGAGAAGCTGGCTTGGAGAAGGGAAGGAGGGGAGAAGCCTCGGTGCGCCAGAAAGAGGAAGGGGAAGAACGGTGGTGGACGGAAAGGAGGCAACAGAGAAGCTGAGGCCTGGAAAAGGGGAGAGGGGAGAAGGAAAGAAGGTCGGTGGAGCAAGCAGAGGAGGGAGAAGCTGGTGGAGAAGGAGGAGGGGCGAGGACACACAAAGGTGGTTGGAGAAACGGAGGAAGGGGCGAGAAGACTGTGGACGGAAGGAGGAGCGGGAGAAGAGGAGTGGTTGGAGAAGGAGGGGAGAGAGGCTGGTTGTGAGAAGGGAGCGAAGGAGCGAAGGGAGAAGGATGTTTGAGAAGGAAGAGGGGAGCAAGCCCTGGTGGAAGAAGGAGGACAGGGTGGAGAAGCTGGTGGAGGCAAAGAAGGGGAGAAGGAGGGGGAAGAATGGGGCTGGTTGGAGAAGGAGGAAGGGGACGATAGCGCCAGGGGAGAAAGGAGCCTGCGTGGGAGAAGGAGGAACGCTACGACAGCCTTCTCGCCGTCCTGCCCTTCTCCCACAGCTCTCCTCTC